TCTCTCTCTCTCTCTCTCTCTCTCTCTCTCTCTCTCTCTCTCTCTCTCTCCCCCTCCCCTCCCTCTCCTCCTCCTCTCTCTCCTCTCTCTCTCTCTCTCTCTCTCTCTCTCTCTAATTCTCTGTCGTTCGTCTCCTCCTCGTACTGGACTCCGTTCTTTGCACCATGCTGTCACACCAGTATGCCACTACCAGCGATACGTAACGTTGCCGCGGCTTTGCCGCGGTACTTGAAAGACGTAAGTTCCCGGCGTCTTCGACGAGAATGGTTCCTCCTGCCTGCCTGCCTACCTACCTACCTACCTACCTACCTACCTACCTACCTGCGTACTAGACGAAAGAGCACGCTGGACGGGTTTGTCTGCTCGATGCGCATGCATTTTTAGGAGAAGTCTCATCATTTAAGCCTTCCGTATCATTAGCTCGTCGTCGTCGTCGTCGTCGTCGTCTTACCACCTGAGTTAATACCGACGTCGACGATCTACGTAAATAACAGTAGTCCTGTATGTCGGACGTGTATCCTCTTGCGCGTAATCTGAGCGATCGAAATCGTCGATTACTTCTTGTCGTTCGGCTGCTCGAGTTCCAAGACATTGGTCTGCATCAATTTACACGTAATACACACAGGTTATAAGTATAGTAGTTAATATTGGTTAATATTTCCGCGGTATGTGCAGTCGGCGCAGATATTTGAGTGCCGGGATATCGACGAGGTCGGATCTTCAGATATATACTTTTTCCTCGCTTCTACTTGTATTTTTATTTCTCCGCTTAAGCCTTCCATGTTATTAACCGCCCGTCGCACTGCCAGCTCGGATTAATACTCCGTTTACAGCCGAACGCCAGTTGAAGTCCAGCAATTATAATATCGAGGCGAATAGGCGCGATTGTGTCGGACACGCCATCGTCTTTATTATTACATGCCTACCGTTTCAATCTGGCGATTCGATCTGATTCATACAACGAACGCGCATCATTAAAATCTGATTCGCGAAAGTAATGAACATCATAAAGGGATTTCGGCGTATGATTCACTTTATTCTTCAACTTCGAGTTTTATTCCCGTGTGTCTCAACGCGTCGTTTAAGACGACACACACTGTCCTTACGACGATAGCATTCGCTCAAACTTGGAAAACGGACAATTTCCTGCTGAGATGGCAAATTCTCCCTTTGCTTAAAATGTGGGACCGCTGTCAGACAATGGTATGCAGAAGTCAGGTAGCTAAAGCTAAGGAAAATCTGCACGTTCTAGGGGGCCTATACCTAAAGTCGCTGCCACGCTGGCCGTCTGAAAATTCCAACTGACCGGATTTCGCAGTATATTCTTCCAAAATATTCTAAATTCCTAAATACAATATCGCCCGAGGAAGAAAAATAGTCATGTTGTAGTTTTACCTGCAAAAATTAATACGAATCGTAAGGAAGTTAAGCTATTTAAAATATTGACTGCAATAACGATTTAATGTTTCATAAACTTTTGAAATGAAACTACACATAGTCGTTCATTGGTAATGTGTGTTGTTGTAGTAAGTGAATTTGCAAAAAAAAAAGTAGACTGCGAAAGATCTGAAGTTTCGGAAAATATGACAATTGCGATCACCGAGACCACGTAATTCCAACGAAGCCGCATCGCTGGAATTATGTATCTATGCGATGGGCATACGTGGACAAACCGACGAACGGTGAGTGCGATGCAGGAGTGACCTCGTAAAAGGCTCTGTAGGATAGTCTTAGGGGAAGTGGCCAAGTTATCGGGCCAGCGTCGTAAAATACTTTTTCTCTCGACTTTATGACGGTTATACCCCGTGCACAGACGTCCTCGGGGCTCCACCTGTCCGCTCGACTTCCTTCAAAAAGGCGATCTTTTTATTGGCTGGTCCGTACTTTATTTACGACGTCTTCTGCACGAACCGTTTTTTTCCTCTTCTCTCCCTTTCCCCCCTCTCTCTCTCTCTCTCTCTCTCTCTCTCTCTCTCTCTCTCTCTCTCTCTGTCCTCTAGAAAACGAAGGAAACTCCAGTCGCGATAAAGCGCGAACTCGTTGGGATTAATAACGTTTTCAACAATGCCGTATGGAATGCGCACAGTAAATAAATGAATGGATGAATATATGAATGCATGCGCAGACACGCCCACGCTCTAGCAGTACGCCACCGACAAAGGAAGTTACCGGCATGTCAATTGAAAAGTCGAAAGCGTAGGAAGAAAAAGCATGAACTCCTCTCTCCCCGGGATAGACCCTAAAGGGATTATTTCTAATTCCTTCGCGTCAATGGGACGAGCGTTTGTCCTTCCCCCCTTCCCTTTATCGCGCGCGATAACGATCTAAGCAACAGTTTGCTTCGACGGGGAGCAGGAAACTTCGGGACACAAGGAGCGTAAAAAAGCTTAAAACTTTCCGGCGAAAGTTCGATCTCTTCGATTCAATCCGAACCGCGAGATGATCCGCGTGTTCTACCTGCGAGAGATATTCGTAATCGCCCGGTGATCATTACCATCCTCATTATCGCTCTTGTAAACACACTTCTCGTCAGCATCATCAATCTATCGAAGGATATCGCGTGAACTGTGTGAACCGAGAAGCGTCTACTAACTTAATTCATTACGAAAACTTTTCGCAACGCAATAAGTTGGGTTTGTCTTCTCCCCTTTCACGTCACGCGGCCACGATGCCATATTATCAGTTTGATTAGCAGCTTACCATTAGCATCGTTAATGCCTGACAAATTATCTTTAATTTTTCAATTTATAAATTAAATGTCTTATTTAAGGTGTCTTATTAAGGTCTATACCGACTGCAAAGTGCGCGACGTGGCTATTACCTGAGTTGAGAGAGAGAGAGAGAGAGAGAGAGAGAGAGAGAGAGAGAGAGAGAGAGAGAGAGAGAGAGAAATGTTTTTCTCTCTACCTGCGTGCACGCATAAACGCACATACACGTACAGAGAACGTCATCTCAGTGAGTGAACAAAGTCCACTTTGGCATTAGACACCCTTGGTTTCTGAAGCCTCAGGCGGTAATCCCCCTACCCTTTGCCGTGGCACCCCTATAGATCTCTCTAGCCGAGCCACCCTCTCACTCCCTCGTGGCAAGACCCTTTCTACCTCTCCCCCCGACTACCCCCGCCCTTTTCTCGGCCTCCCGCATCGCCTTCGCTACCTTCACCCTAACCCTCCGTCTCTCTTCGTTTCTCTCTCT